GTATTACCACCTTCAGTCTCTCTTTAGCAGATTGAGGGACGTAGTAGCTATACTCTGATAGGTTATGGTGGTGCTTACCACTATCAGGGAGATGTAGCTCTACATTCTGGGGGAGTATACCAGTATCCAGCTGATCCATATTATCAAGGTAGTTATCCCCAATACTAGGGAGGCTATACACCGTATGCGCTGTATCAGGGTGGTAGACCACAGTGGTATATTGGAAGACAGTCCTAGAACCTTGATGTTGCTACTAGTAGTGCTAGTTCGATGAGGTAGCCTAATCAGCTTAGTTAAGGACAAGGTAATCAAGGAAATAGAGGTCGTGGAGGTTGGAAGCAGGCGCAGGGCCATGTTCACGACATCACTTTACAAGACGCTAAGAGCAACCCTGATTTGATTATGGGTACGTTGAATATTCTTGGTCATTTTGCTAGAGTATTAATTGATTCAGGTGCCACACATTCTATTATTTCTCATATGTTTGCTTAAAAGCCTCAACCACACCTTACTTCCCTCGGTTATGAGTTGGAGTTTTCCATGCCTAGATGCGAGACTTGTTATGTTAGTTGGGAGTATCAAGGACATCCTGTTTTTGTTGAGGATGTGATATCAGCCTAGGGTATACTTGTGGGCCTTCATAAGGTAGCTATAGTAGAGAATTGGGAACAGCCTCATACTGTCATGGAAGTATGAAGTTTTCTAGGTTTAGCCGGCTATTATCGACGTTTTGTGAAAGACTTCGCAGCTATAGCTCTGCCATTGGCAAAGTTAACCAGGAAGGGAGTTAATTTCGAGTGGAATGATGTTTATAAGCAGAGTTTTCAGAAACTAAAGTATTGCCTCACTCATGAACCTGTGTTGGCACTTCCGGATGACAGTGGGAATTTCAAGATTTATAGTGATGCTTCTTTAAATGGTTTGGGCTGTGTACTAATGCAGCATGGCTGGGTGATCGCGTATGCTTCACGATAGTTAAAGCCCCACGAGATGAATTATCCCACTCATTAGCTCGAGTTAGCAGCTATTATCTTTGCATTGAAAATCTAGAGGCATTATTTGTACGGGGAAACATGTCGGATCTTCATCGACCATAAAAGTCTTAAATATATTTTTACTAAAAAAAATCTTAATCTCAAGTAGCGGAGATGGGTTGAGTTGCTCAGTGATTATGACTGCATGATTAAGTATCATCCTGGTTGTGCAAACTCTGTAGTTGATGCTTTAAGCAGGAAATCCCAGGGTAGACTCAATACACTTTATGCACGCAGTGTTCCACTCTTGATGGAGTTGCGATCTACTGGAGTCACATTAAGGGAAGATTACCAGGAAGCTCTACTTGCTAATTTTCAAGTTAGGCCAATTTTGTTGGATCGTGTACTCGAAGCTCAGGCGAATGATCTGGAATCTCAGGAGTTAATACAAGCAGTGTCTAGAGGGAAAAAGAAAGATCTCAGGATTAGGAATTCTGATGGTATGCTGATGCAGGGTGACCGAATGTTCGTGCCTAATGTTGAAGAATTAAAGAAAGATATACTTGATGAGGCACATGTTTTAGCATATGCGATGCATCCTAGGAGTACCAAGATGTATCACACCATCTGACCTTTCTATTATTGGCCTGGTATGAAAAGAGAAATTGCAAAACACGTGAGTCATTGTGCACTTTGTCAGCAAGTCAAGGTAGAAAAGAAGAAACCTTTTGGGTTATTACAGCCAATTTTTATACCTCAGCGGAAATGGGAAGATATTATCATGGATTTCATGTACAAGTTACCTCATATGTGGAATGGTTATGATGGTATTTGGTTGATAGTTGATCAACTCACTAAGTCAACACACTTCATACACTTTCGAGAAAATTACTTGTTGAGTCAGTTGGCAGAACGGTTCATTTATGAAATTGTCAAATATCATGGTGTTCCGGTGAGTATCATGATTCGAGATTCGAGATTGTTTTATAGCACGGCTTATCACCCTCAGACGGATGGACAATCTAAGAGAACCATTCAGACACTAGAAGATATGCTGAGATCTTCAGTTTTGCAATTTGGAGACACTTGGCATAAGCGTTTAGCTTTGATCCAATTTGCTTATAATAATAGCTATCATTCTAGCATTGGCATGTCACCATTTGAGGCGCTTTATGGTAAACCATGCCTTACCTCGTTATGTTGGTCTGAAGTTGGTAAGAGAGTGCTAGTGGACCCTGAGATTGTGGATGAGACCATGCAGAATATTTTGGTGATTAAAGCTAACTTGAAGGCGGCCCAGGATCGACAAAAGAGTATCGCTTATATACATTCAACTGACTGGGTATATAAGGTTGGAGATTGGGTATTTTTAAAGCTGTCACCATGGAGAGGTGTGGTATGGTTCGGAAAGAAAAGTAAGTTAAGTCCTCGCTATATTGGACCTTATCAGATCATCGACCGAGTTGGTGAAGTTGCCTATCGGCTTGAGCTACCTCCAGAATTATCAAATGTGCATAACGTGATTCACGTGTCTATGCTGCGTAAATATGTCCCTGATCTATCGCACGTAATTCCTCCTCAGCCACTGGAGATTAAACCAGACTTGACTTACGATGAGAAGTCGGTGACGGTTTTGGATTGGAAAGACAAGGTTCTCTGGAACAAGGCCGTTCACATGGTGAAAGTTTTGTGGAGGAACCACTTAGTCAAGGAAGCTACCTGGAAAACGGAAGATTGTATGTAGGACTTATACCCACGTCTGTTCTTTGATTATTGATTTGTTATGCTGAAATTTCGGGGACCAAATTTCCTTAAAGGGGTAGACTGTGACGACCCGTCCCAATTTATTATATAATTTTCTCCTTCGAGTGTGTAAAGTGACAAATATGCCCTCGTTGGCTAAGTGACGTGGATGTGTATATGCAGTATTAAATTATTATTTTCGCTGTTGTAATTAAATCGTACTCGACGTCATGAGTGTGTTGAAGTGAGTTAGAACTGAATTGGAGATGTAACGAAAAAGTTACGATTATTTAGGTGCGTAAATGGGCAAATTGTGGACAAATTATATGGGCTCCTATTTCTTTTAGCCCAATCAGATAATTTGTTTTTCTTCTTTTGGGCCAATTAAATTTATCTTTCTCTCTCTTAGCCAATTAGAACACACACACACACACTCACTCACTCTTCCTTCTCTCTCTCATTCTCGACTCTTCTCCCTCCGTACACAAAGACACCCCACATACACAACCATCATCAAATTCACACGGATCAAACTTTTGGAAACCACCACCATCCTCCTCTCGACCACATGATCACCACCATACCCTTAGTTTTCTGTTTTGGTAAGTTTTAGCTCGGAAACCAGAAGCTCCGACGAGGAGGTAGTTTGCTCCGGCACGATCATGGATGATTTACAAGGTTTTGAGGATCGAGATGGTCTCTATGCAACTTCACTAGCACTTTAGAGTAGATTGGGAGTGGAATGGATGTCGGAATAAGTAAGGAAGAGTTGTGGAGTTGGTCGGATTTTCCAAGGAATTTTCCGATCGTTTTTTGTTGGATTTTGGACTTTTAATAGGTACGAACGTGTTCTACTCTTTGAGACCTTCAAATCTATATAAATTTCATGGATTTTGGTTAAGAAATGAAGTAGATATAAAGCTTTGAAAATTTTCCAGAAAATGGCCTGTGCAGACGGCGACTGGCGGCGGCGGACGACGGAGATCGGCGGGTGACAGGAGAAGAAGAAGGTATATTCTGTTAACTTTAACAGAATATTCTAACGGCATTAGGTAATGCCATTACCATTTAATAGAATATTTCGCCTATTTTGACGGAATATTCCTAATGCCGTTAGGGTTTCCATCAGTGTGCTATGCATGTGCCTTCGCATGAGGGTTTGTATCATCTAGTAGATCACTTTCGTATATTCAATTCTTACATTTGAGCAAACTATGAGGAGTTATTCTTGGATTTCATATATGTGCTAATTAATTAACGTAAAAATAGTTGTATCGTATATAGGTGAGACGTACCCCAAGGACGAGCGTGGACAAGCGAAGCTAGGGGGCTACGATCTTGCTACCTATCAGTGAGTGGGCATTTGTTTTTTTTTTTTTATATATATATATATGGAACTATGCTTTGCTTGCCATGTAGAAATAAGTTATATTTTAAATATTGCATTGTTACACTTGTGAATTGTATTGTGTGATGTTGCAGAGACTCAGGTAAGCTTCAGGTGAGTATTATCTAATTGAATGGGTTGTATTACATTGGTATGCACACATTTACTTAGAGCTCATCATGGTTGCACCTCGGTATTAGTGCTCCCGCCTAGGGCTATAGCCAGTCTTCACGTGATTGTTCACGTCCTGCACTGCACGCTCACCTTGGATTCAAGTCTGGTGCCAGCTTGTCGTACATACCACAATAGGTGGTTCCGACTCGTAGGTGACTCGCGAATTATCACACAGCCTCTAGGTTCTACGTAGCTGTTCATCTTTGGTGGCTCAAAAGGACTACATGGTGGTTTTGATGTTTCCATAAATAACCGTAGGGATCTTCTCCCTGTTTGTATATTTAGTACTTAGTTAGTTCGACTGCACTTTCATTTTACCTACGCTCTGATATGCTTGTATCTTATACTTGATCACCTTCACACACTTACATATTATCTCTAGTTAAATAAGTTCAGTTTTGGTTTTTATTTATTCGCATTTTCTTATTATTATCACTTCTGTTGCGCATTTGGCTACGTCACCCTTACGTGACGCCTAACACGTCTCGACTCTGGTTGGGGTGTGTCACCAATGTGTATCACATGTAAGTAACGTGACTTAAATTGACGGAAAACTAAATATAGTAGCTTTAAATCTAATATTAGGGTTGTAATTGTTAGATTTTTATAATTCAAGGACTATTTTTTTTGAAAAAATAGTTTAAAGACTCAATTTTCACTTAGGTGATAATTCAGAAACTAAATTAAAAATCCACATGTACAAAAAAAATGTAAAAATTATAGGCAAACAAGATATCAATTCTTTTTCTCGGCTCCCGGAAGAGATGGATAATCGTAGCTTGCCATCAGTTGTCTCCCTTTAAAAGAAAAATGATATCGATTCTTTAGACCTCTTTGTCTTGACATTAAGACAAGAACGAGACTTGGCTGCTGAAAAATCAATAGCATCTCATGCTGCTGACCAATCACAATTGAACACATATCCAAGTAATTGATTTTTTAATCACAACTTGAATACGTTTCCAGCTGTGATTGGTTGAACTGCACCTGATTTTTTCAGCAGCCTAAGTTCTTCTATCCTTAAGACAATCCAACGGCATTTTCAGACTGAAACGGCGTCTTCCCAGACACCAAATTTCCGTCACCCCCACCCTTAGGAGTTTTAACGATAACGGAACCTCCTCCAGCAAAAACGACGGCGTCGTCAACAACACCCACGGGTCGAACTGGTTTGATTATCCACACTGCTGTTCCCTTCACCGCCGCCATACCTATAGCCCTTCCTCGAACTCCCGAGGCGACGCAAAACGATGTCATAGCTAGTCGAACGTGTCAGCTTGCCGTTGCCGCTCGAAACTACCTGCCTCCTCACCTTCTCCGGTAGTCTCAACGTGTACCGCTCAGTGTCCAATCCGGGTCGGATCAGCGAGTGACCCGTCGAGTGCGATCTCGGAAGTTCAGGAAGGAACTTTCCTGATCTCCTTCGTGGGTCCCCTACCTCAACTGCTTCTGGGCCCCCTCTTTGGTTTTCATCCACAATGAGCACAACGGCGTCTTTTGGTACCTCCCGGATTTCAATCGGACTCCTTGAACTCGAATCTTCCGGGTTTAAATTGGCGTTTAGCTCGGTCGCTCGCGAGTTCGACTCGGCGCACGTGAGGTTGGCGCGGCAAACCGGACACGTCACGTGAGCGGCGAGCCAGGCGTCGATGCAATCTGGATGGAAGACGTGGTCGCATTTAGGAAGCAAACGCAGCGTTTCGAAGTCGTCAAACTCGCTCAAGCACACCGCGCACTCCAGAGATACCTTGCCGATCTTTAGATCCTTGACGGCGGAGTAGACGAGGATCGAGAAAGTCTGGATCACCGCCGGGTCCAGGCCTCACCTGCTGGAAGCTCCTACGGCGGCCGGAGCTCGAGTTCTGGCGGATTCCATGTCAGTGGACTCAGCGCAGCGGCGAATGTAGATGGAGAGGAAGCCCATCAAGAAGAAGGCGAAGACGAGGAAGACAATAACGACCGCCATTGAAGAGTTCAAATTGGCGGTGTAGCCATAGCCGTTGTTGTGAAACTCAGCGGTCTGGGCATTGGCCGGCGTAGGATAGGCGATCAAGAAGAGGAAGAGAAGATTGAAGATCCATGTCATATGGTGTGACATTTTGGCACAACAGTTGGTGGGACAGCAGCTTCTGTTAGTAGCAGCAGTGAGTGAAGTTTGTTCATAATATTATTACTTAAGAGGAAGGAAGTAGTGACATGTGGCAGGACGAGAGTACACGGCGGCTTTGCAGGTGGTGAATGCTGATGGGGTGTTCTTTTTGCTTTGCTTGGGGAGCAAGAAGAAGGCGATTCGTGTGGGGTCTCAACTCTTTCGGATTACACATTGAAACAAAAGTAGGTGACACAGTCATGTGATCTGACGGTGGAGGAGAGCAAAAGTGATGGGATGTGAAAAGGGATAAGAAGAAGAAGAAGATTGTCTGAAAGAATATGATTCTACGTGGACCTACAAATTGGCTTAAAAAGAGGAAATCAGAACCTATGGGCGCGAAAACGACTTATATCGTATGAATTTACTGTTCCCGGACAGCTTCGTTCTATGAAATAATGTGTAAGTCTTCCGCATATAACGTTCTATTATTATGTCAAAATATACACGTAGCACTGAACTCATTTCGTGAAAATTGTTATTAATAAACTTAGTGAGATTGAGATAAGAAAATGAATAATATAAGTTGAGTGAGATTTTGAGTGAGAGTGATGAGATGAGCAAAAGCTGAAACCGATTAAAAGATTGAAACAGCTCTGTCACTGTTCATCTCATCACATTCACGGTATTCCTACTCATCATGACAAATTTGACCAGTTTTGGATTGGATTATGTTATCATGCTTTCTTTCAGCTTTTACAAGAGAAGACAATAATCCCACGGCATTAGTATTTTGTCTCATCCAATGATATTGACCTTGTTTCTTATCAGTTTGATGAGATTTTCTACGGTTTCTTGTGATTTAGGATACTATTAACCTTAAAAACTACAAAGTCTACGTGGTCCCCAGGTCGAGTAACTAATGAGCTAACTACGTCATTCAGTTATGTGCGGGGCATGCCAACTCGACGGTCGAGCTTGGCCGCAGAGTAAAATATGTTGATGTCTTGTTGAGCGCGCTCCTGACCTTTTGATCTCGCGACTGCAGTTGAAAAAGGAACACGTCTTGACCTTCGAGTTCTAGAGCCTGAAGATAAGGCTTCTAGTCTTGCGAAGTTCATGAATTGTCGGTGCTGGGTTCGGTTAAGATGATTATATTCGTGAGAGAATAAGTATGCTGAATTGGCACCAGACTATGTCGACACAAATAATCGAAAGAGATGTATATCTTGATTGTAAATGTGGTTCGGCCGAACTCTAAAATGTACTTGTGAATATCCAATCATAAAACAACTCGACGTTCAACGTGCCGAGCCTAGTAACCTGTAACACCTCACTTCTCCGAGAAGGTTGATGAGATGATCTCTACCAACAAGGACTCGAAAATCCTTGTCGACCGAGACTTGGATAAATAACCAGTCGATCTTGTTTATCTAAACTAAAGGTGCTCCTTGATCGGCTAATTCTATGGCTCCAATGTTGTTTATCCAAACTGAAGATGTTGCCGGTTGCCTTCAAAGTTCTGTTTATCTAAATTGAATATGTGTTGGTGGAAGAAAGAGGAGAAGTTTAAAACCTCAGGTTGTTGAGAAGCTTTGCGTAGGGCAATTCGTGTGTTGAATTGGAGGGGCTTTGAATGATGCACTCCATTCTCTATTTATAGTAGCAAACCCCCTCATGGCCGAGCTAGAATCATACTCGGATTAGAACTCCTCAACCTAATCTGATTAGGTCTCGGCTAATCCTAACTTCCCTAAGACTTTGAACCAAACTCTTTAACAAACCAGATTCATCCCCTAATTCTCAGCATCCTCAATCTTAGCTTTAAGACTCCTTGTTGCACTAGGTTTCGACTATCTCACCCTTATCTAAACCAATCCTCCTCGTAGTAGGATTCAGCCGACCCTTACTGGATAGCCCACGACAAGATTCTATATGAATGCTACTAGGCCGAGAATAACTCTAAGTTCGGCCTAAAATAATATTTTGGGCCCAACATTGCCCCATCGCTTCTGAGGTGTTCAATCTATAACTTCTGGTCGAGCCTCAACCTTGAAGAAGCGAAATGAACCCTTAGCACATTCTTGAAGAACACTAAAAAACCTTGAGTATCCCAACCACCTAGGCGCATTTATTAGGTGTGATTGCACAATCTGAACTCTATCAGATTCCTTGCCATGTGGCATTTCCTTGGTACGTTTGTCTCTCAATAATGACATTTGAGGTGTGCAGACACTGACACGTCCCTTCGCCATTAAACTCACCGTCACACGCAATCATGCAACCTCAATTTGCGAGCCTTTTGGCCTTTTTAAGGCGTGCTGATATTGAAATGTCATTCGCCATTAAACTCGCTGTTACATGCAATTGTGCATCCTCAAACCGCGAGCTTTTCAGCCTTTTCACCTGGATTCTCAAATATCTGCCATGATTAAGAAATATTTTGGTTGAATTTACCCTTCATTTTTTTAAATACTGAATCCAGAATTCCTTGCCACTTGCTCTCAAACCCATAAAAGAAACCTAACTTTGAAACCTAGAAAAATTTCCAAGTCTTCATCAATAGCTGCCAACACCTTTATCACCAAGCTTGCCAAGGAGTGCGACAAATGCCGAGACATTATCGATCGGAACGCCATCAAAATTATCTGATTCGAGGATGACTCGAGCGCCTTCCACCAAACTCTGGGACCTATTTTTAAGGACAAGGTCTAAGAAACCATCACCCATATGTTGAAGGCCCATTGCCTAGAACCCTTGCTCCAAGGTTACGACTGGTCGAAATGGCAATCGGCCAAACCCCAAGGAGCCTAGCTTTAGACCACAGCGACCTGGGCTACTTGGGTCACTCGAATGGAACCACACTTTGGTGATGAGTGGAAGACTCTTGGCATCTTTGATACCATCAAGCTCTCGACCTTTGAAATCACCGTGGATCGAGAGCTCTTGATGGTCGCCTTGAGCTTCTGGTGTTCGGCCATCAACACCATGATCCTTCCACTCAGGCTCATCGATCCAACTGTGCTGGACATCATGTCTATACTTGGCACTTCTGCTTCTGGTCTTGCAATCGACGCTGCTCTTTCCAGGTACGAATTCGACCTGGACCTGAAGGTAGTGTTCGACGAGCGGGCCGTTGAAGTTTTGTCGAAGAAGAACCAAGGGTCGTCGAAAGAAGACGAGCAAAAATTGCACAAGAATTTCTTCAACTATAGCACTCCGATCACCCACTTTGCTGGCTCAGAGAGAGAAGCTCTTAAGAAAAGAAAGCATGAAGCTTTTTTGTTTTACTGGTACAATAAGTTCTTTTGTACCAAGTCAAACGAGTGCCTGGCCAAAAACATGCCAGTGGCCGAAGCTCTAGCCAATGGTCATGTCCTAGCCTTTAGCCCGACCATCCTTGTAAACCTCGACCGGTGCTTGGTCAAGGCTTCTGTTGGAAAAATCGACCCGCACCAAAACTGCCCACTCTGGGTCTTCCAACTCTAGCTGCATGTCTATTTTCCAACAATAAGGCAAGAAATCCCAAGCTTCAATTCTCCCAAAGCAATGGGTCTCCAACTAACCTTGCGCCCCTTTTCAGCTCACTCGGTTGAATGAATCTTCAAGTATTTCTTCGGCCTCGAAGATCTGTCAGATGACGAATTTCTGATCTATCGCCACCAGAAATACCCATCTTCCATCACACTCCTAACCTCGGCTTGGGAGGAAGTAGATAAGGTCGACATTCAACGGTCCTAGGGGTCATTCACCATAGTTTGCGACCTTCTTTTTGGTTGCGACACTCGACGGGCTAGCTGGGAAGTTTATCATCCCAACTTCCTAGCTCGTCAACTAGGCTTCCTTCAAGACTGTCATTTACCATTCCTCACTTCTCTTTCTCTTTTGAGCCGAGAACGCCTCTCTGGCTCCTCGAAGAGGGATTGTGAAGAAGACGAGAAAGAGTTCCAAGAGCGATGTATAAAATTCCGCCTTTGGCGGAACACTCTAGAAATCCACTGTACCAGCACCTTCGCTGATTGGTGTGATGCTTACTGTGGATGCAAATTTCTTCCTCCTTGATCTTGGACAATTTTACACCTACTAAACAATTAACACCTTAGGTTAAGGCCAAGAGCCTCGCGAGCCCACAATGAAAGGAGGGGGGCTTTGGCCGAAGAACCTCCGATGCCAAAGTTAGAATTTAGAAAGAAAGAGTGTTTAGAGAATTTTGGGATTTTTGCCAAAGTGTTGGAATGACTTTTTGGTGAGAATGGGATCACTTTTATAGGGATAGGAAGTGGCCGGCCATCACTAGGGTTTTTTGGTTTAGTTTAGGTTTAATTAGCCAATTTATTATGATTAATTGGCTAATTTAAACATAAAGGAATGTTTTGATGGTTATGGGTTTAATTGGCTAGCTAATTAGTGTAATTAAAAAGGGAAAATGGTGGAAAAGGTAGAGAATATGATAGGCTCTTTTTGGATGGGAATGGACGGCCCTTGGTGTGATTTTGGGGTGATTTATTGGGGTATAATGGGTGATTAATTTGGTGATTAATGAATTAATTAGGAATTAATTCATTAATTAGCCAATTAATCTCTATTTTTATGGGATAATTGATAGGTTATGAAGTAATTACCTATAATGAGGACGGATGAGATAAATTGGAATTGGTTACCTTTTTTGGAGCATTTTTGACTTGGTTGAGGATGATTGTTTGCCGCTAGCACGTAGGAATCTCGATATGCTTCAAGGGTATTTTTGTCATCTTTTACCCAAAAATCCACGTGTCGCCTTGTAATTCTTTTTGGTTCCACAAATGCCCCCACACCTGTTGGGCTACTTGCAGGAAAGGGCAGCAGGTGTAAAGATTTCCTTGCTTTTAGGAAACTTAGGATTGCTTCCTATTTTGATGTAGATTCTCTCTTTAATAGGAAATTAGATCATTCTAGGAAAGGGAAATAAATTTCTCTCGAAGCCTATTTAAGTACACCTTAAGTGGGTTATTACATCAACTGTGGAGAGCGATTTATTTTACCCAACAAGAGAGAGAGAGCTTAGAGGATATTTGTTCCCCCTCTTCTAGTAATCTTCTAAATCTTGCCCATGCAAAGGACCGTCTTTCGTTGTTTTCTTCATTTTCTCTGTGCTGTACCTGATGTAAGAAAAATTTAATTTTTCTTATCTTCCTCTTGGATAGTGCTGTCGTGGGGCAACTGTCGGGATGTGTGGCACGTCGGCTAGCAAGGGCTAAGAGTCGGCTTGACATGGGCCGATGAGGTGTTGTGGCAGGGACCACTGCTTTAGGATGCTCAACTTGGCTAGAGCCATGGGCAGCTTGTGCGGCTGAGGCCACAGATTATGGCCCTGGGGTGCAGTGTTAGGCGAGTTGCAAATCTTATTTCCTTTAGGCTCTTGTATCTGACACGAGCCAGGCCGGCGATTGAGAGAAATGAGGAGGTTGCAGGCCTCATGGGCTATTGGAATGCTGGGCATGCTGGCCTCCTGCTTGCTAGAATGCTGGGTTGAGCTCCCCTGCTGAGTACCATGAATGTTGTTGGTTGCTTAGTTCTCTTTGCCTGGAGAAAGATGGGCTGCTCCCAAAATAGGAGATAAAGAAGATCAAGGTGGATGCATTGGCTCGTCTGATCACTGTCGTGGAGCTTACTATGAATGAAGGTGGAAAGAAGAGATCTTCCTCGCTTGCTCAAGAGATGTCGGTTAAGAAAAACTGAAGACTTCTTCCGCTGCTCATGAGGGTCCGCCTGCTACCGAGAGGTATGTGATTGGCATGACTTATTCCAATGGAAAGAGAGATAAGGATACTATATCTGAGCCTGTGACGCCTGCTATGTCGAGAATGGCTAATTCGATTGATGATAGTATTGCTCAGTGTAGAGGTATTGTCATGCCCCAAATGTCGAAGTTTGTGCTAAGACGTCCGTAGGGAGCTAAGTTCGATTCTCACTTGGAGAGGCTTGCCATTATAAAGAACGATAAGGTGGACTCTGCTGCTAAAGTGGCGCTAAGGCCTACTCACTCTGCTGCTAAGACTGATTCGCCTGCTGAGAATGAGAAGATTGCTCACATGGATAGCTATGAGAAATCCACTAAGCCTGCTTCTAGAGAGGCTGCTGAGACTTGTGTGCTCTTGAAACCAGATCTGCTTGAAGACATAGACGTTTGTACCAAATTTGTTGATGGCGTTAGAAAAGTTTGTTTGCCCAAGTTCCTTTGCGAAGCATATGACCCAATATAGAAAGACTGCTCTGCTTGCTATGATGTAGATATAGCAAGGCTGCTAAGGAGGTGGCGAAGAATAAGGCAGCTGAAGCTTATTCCTTGGCTGAGAAGATCAAGAGGTTGGATTTTGAGCTCGTTGCTTTGAAAAGGTCTAATATTTCTGCCTTCACTTCTCCACAGCTTAGATTCAAGATCTTGGGTTTGCAGTTTCTGAGCTTCGTTTTGCTGCTTATGCAAAGGATGAAAAGTTGATTGCTGCTTATAATTAAGTGATCCACTTTAAGAGAATCGTCGATAGGCTTGAACCCCAAGTGTTGGAACTTCAAGGTGTACTGAAGATCAACGAAAGTCTGAAGAAGGAAGTGGATGAGCTGCAGCGGTCCATGTTGGTCTGCTTAAGGAGAATGAGCAGCTGAAGGGTGAGAAGGATGAGCTCGCGGTTTCAAGACCTTTTCTATTTCTCCAAAAGACTTGCTTGCTTTTACTTTTGAGGCTTCCATTGGTGAAGTAGTTGGAGAAACTGGTGCCTGGGCTGGGGTAGCCGGAGGTGAAGTGCTGGATGATGCTGCTGCTAAAAACGCGCGGTTGCTAAAGGTGTGGTGACCGAGTAGTCGTGGGATGTCCAAGCTGCTGTAGTCTTCTAGGTAGCTTTTAGGATTTTCTTTGTTTTTCCTGGTAGCTCTTGTTTTGCTTGAACTTCTTCGGCCTTTGCTAATTGTTTATAAACTTGTTTCCTTCACTTTTCTTCATCTTCGCTTCTTTTGTTCTTGCCCTAACCTTTAGTCTTGATAGACCAATGGCAGACATTCTACTTTTTTGTAAGCAGACAAGCTCGCGTAGCCTATGCAGCCGTAGGTGTTGGTGTAGAACTTTGCAAAGTTGTTAGCCATAGGGTTGGCAGCTAGATGCCTTACATACAGAAGCAACAAGTCTGCATAACCACTAGGCTATTAACGTTGTGCTTTTTCCAATTCCGTAGGTTGCATAGCAAGTATCACAACACTTTAGGACTTGGTGTAGGTTGTTCTGTGCTTGGCAGAGGTGAAGCTTATCAACTACGTAGCATGTCGACAGTGGATAAAGCTTCATATAAGCGCGCTACCTTGTTTAAACTTTTCACAAGGATGTGCGGTTGTATAAGTCTAGCGCTGCTTTACTGCTCAAAGGGCAAGCCTTAAGCAGTCTTCCAGAAACCATAGGCTACCTTAGTGCACTATGTAGCAGCTTTAGGATTCTAGGGTAGCCGTCCATCGGATGTACTGCGTAATGTGCCCCTCCGTCTCTAGGGCCCAGTTCCCCATGGATTAGGCCAAGAGACCCAAAATCCTTCAGTTAGCTAAGCCTTGAAAAATACCATTGTGGCTACTTCTAGGAATCCCGGCGCAAGCCATCATGCATCTAGTTATACTAGGGCAGCCAGGCTCATCCACGTCTGGATATTCGTAATGTAAAGTTTCTGCTCCCGTTTTGGAGAGTTGACCCATATGGGTGTCGGGGAATTGGTTTACCCTATCGCATT